ACTAGTCGAATACGTAGACTTCTACAGGGCCTTCTAAGTAATGCGCGCCGGGTATAATTCAAACCTCTGCCCCCATCGGTACCATTACCCCTAAAGCAAATCGTCTCCAGGAGACGAAATACAGTCCACGATGAGGTCACGGTGACCGTTTTTGGTTGCTGGGTTGCTGTTGTCATGTTGTCATACTACTAGACTACGTGTACTACGGTAAAGGTACCGGCCCATTCAGCAAAGAGTGACTGATTCTAAGTAAGTTTACAGTATTAGTTTTTCTACTACTATTACTCTGAGCTCCATCTGTTGTGGTGTTCGACTCGATAGTATTCGATTCTCGATTTTCATTGGTGAAGGAAATGTGAGGTCTGTGGCTTTTTGGTTGATGGTTTGTACCGTTGGTTGGCAGAAGTCAGGTTGGGGGGGGGGGGGACAGTGCCGGTACTACAGCCGTAGCTACCGTAGTAGCATTATATTGTTAGGCTGGAGGGATTAAGGTTGAAAGGTCAATAGAATCGTGGCTTCAGGAAGCACGAAGCTATTGTTGAACAAGCCAATACATTGGCAACTACTGCCTAAAGAAGAACCTCAGCAATTGAAAGGCAATTTTGTGTGGAAAACTGTGTTTTGAAGCCACGGAACCGAAGGTAGACTACTCAAGGCTCGTTCTTCTGCTGAGCCCTGAAGTGCAGATCTTTTGCGGCCAAACGCTACCGCTACTAGCTACGTCGGAACAATCTTTTCATGCGGAGGGTCACATCTGATCCCTGGAAAGCATGATGTACAGGTTCGACACGAGCATCTTTCAAACTCACAAACGTTAATAATATAGATTACGCGGTTTTCCTTCTGTTTCAATCTCACCCGATCGTCTGCGTAAAATAAAGGCTATTTCATACATCGGCAGTCACCGGCACACTTGTCGTCTTTAAGTTCTGAAAGGAGTTCATCAATTTGCCCACAATCGATTCCTTTCGAGGCTTGCGTGTGTGTTGAATCATCTTGCGCCTTCCGCCCGTGGAAACCAAACTGCAATCCTCCATGAGGCCAGATTCACTAAAGTCGGCCGTGATGCTCGTGGCGGAATCGTTGCCATCGAATGGCTTTTCTTGGATGGTAACGTGCTGAATTCCCAATGATTGACGTCGCGCCACTCGTTCCCGTCCAACGGTGGAAAAATCGACCAAGGAAGAACCCAAACGCTCCTGAATACTTGCCTGAATTTTCTTGGCTTTGGATTGTCCCTTATCCTTCTTTTTCTTACTGCTCTTGTCAATGACTAGGGTTCGACCTTCCACATGTTTCAATTGTTCTTGGATCTGATCCACTTGTGCTTGCAGGGACATGCGTCGAGTGGGCTTTTTGCGCGCCGCTTTAGCAGAAGCGTCGTCCTCCTTTTTGCTCTCATTCACGGGGCGTTCTCGTAGCATCCCCGTGGTGGAGTGGCGTCTCTCGAGCCGCTTGGGACGAGCGATAATGGGGCGTCCCTCCTTCCAAAGAGTGGATTTGGGACTGACGGCATGTTCTCCCCATCCACGGGGAGCTTCTTCCCCGCGGTGTCGTTCCACCTCCTCTTCCATTAACTCAAAGAGACCAGGGCCCAGAGTAAAGGCCGGTGGGCAACCACGTCGCATGTCTTCGAACAACTGACCAGGTTCCAAGGTTTGCAACATACCCACCTGAGCCACGTATCGAGTGGGTGCCGTTTGTTGGACGTCATGCAACGGCTGCATGGGCTGAACCGCATACCACAAGTCAGGACGCTGTTCCATCACCACAGCCCAGCCCTTGGGCAAATTGACATCGACGCAATATTCGTAGGGTCCATCCGAAGGATACTGACGATAATAGAATCGAATGGCCCCAGTACACCCACGATGAAAGTCGAGTAGGACAGAATGGGTCGACACCGAACACTCCTCCCCCTTTTTCACAATATCCATGGCATCGAGATGAGCGGGAAATTCCTGGCCAGCAGTGAGTTTGAGAACTCGCCAGTTCTTGGAAACTGTGTGAACCTGGTCACTAATATCGGCATTGTTGCTTCGTAGGGATTTGAGCAGGTGGTAGTCATACTGAAGGCGGGGGAATAGAGCATCGCTCAAGGGCTGCATGCCTCCATTTTCATCAAAGATATCCTTGACGTGAAACTGATGTGGAATTTCCTTGCCGTACAATACCCCCTGACACTCCACTTGGTCCATCACACAGTCGCATTCCTCCCTTGTCATCAAATTGGGTACGACCCATGCAATGGGACGGTTGGTGTGCGTCTCATGGACGACGACATGATACTTGAGCTCCTTTAGTTCCTTCTCAAAGTTAAACACTTTGTCTGCTTCCCTACTACAGGCTTCGGCATAGGCTTGCTTTGAGCCCTCGTCCATGATTCTGATTCTTCTTCAATAGACAGATAATGATGCTTCTATTATCAATGCTACCCGCTTGATTAACTTGTGTTTCTGGTTTCTGCAAGGTTGTGATGGGGCAGAACCCAATTGCAGAAGCCTCTCACTTGAATGAGGCTAGCTACTAGCTAGCTCTAGTTGACTACATGTACGAACCTTGCACAGAGAACACAATGAGCTTCACCTTGACTATTATCGCCATCTGCGGGTGGATGCTCTCACTGGTGTCTGAGAAATATCTTCACGTTTTCGAGTTCAAAACACTCCACCTTGAAATTAAGATAACCTTTTGCCTTGACAGGAGTGCGTGCGGTTTTATTGAACGATCCAGATACCTACTAGCTAGTAGCTATCATAGTTCGATACACCATTGAAGTGTTCACTTACAACCGCTACGGGTTTCATAATGCCAACATGAAGCCTGCAGCTTTTGCTTTGTTTAGCAACTTGTTTGTTTGATTGCTCCAGCAAGCTGCTAACTACTAGATAGGAGTGTAGTTTAATTACAATTGCTGGCGTCCTGCCTGCAAAGTTTCTTTGGCCATCTTCAGATTCGAGTTTTAAAAAGGAATATATCTCGCCTTACAAGCAAATACCAGTAAGGGCAACATACACCTTCAGAAGTTCATAAAAACAAGATTCAAATAGCTAGCTATCTAGCTAGGTCAATCGAATTCATCCAAAGTTGCCCGCATCAAACAGAAAGTTTCATCGGACCTCGGACACAGCCCAAATGAATCCCTTCTACCGATATGTTCTTAACATCAAGGCAAGCAGATCGTATTGATAACGTTATGAAATGCAACAGTGAGCAACCAAGCAAATGAGTGGTGGTGCCAGCGGCTTTGCTCCTTGGATTGCAGTCTAGGACTGACTAGCTAGCTAGGAGCTACATAGTTCCTTGATGATGGTCAGGGTAGGTAGCTAGTGGGCCTGAATAAGCTTGGAAGGGATTCCTGCATGACCAGTGCAGCGCCCCCATAGAGCTGGCAAGTTCGGTAAGGAGGTTATCGGAAGCACTTACTTGCTAGTATCGGAACGGGATGCCTTACTGAGAGTTTTGGTAGGTACCGGTATGGTAGCTCTTGTAACTAGCTAGATTGGAGCACCTGCAGCTTGTAGGGAGGCAGGCGGATGTTTTTCATGGCGCATTGGTACCGGTACTCTCATCACCAGTACCATACCTGAGTTGGGCGGCTACCGTGTGGCACGATGGTGCTGCGTTGCTCTAGCTACCGGTAGCTTGTGTCGCAGTAGCTGGCGCAGTCCAGCTTCGCTACTTTTGTGCCGGTACTGCACGGCACCGCAAGTACAGACCGGAAACGCCCGACTCTGACTCGACTCTCAAACGAGCAGCTCCTGGTCTCGACCCAAAACTCCAAAGCTTCGACAAATTGAAACCCCACGCATCCACTATGGGCTCGAGAGATTGTTCCGAAGGCGCATGTGCACCTCAGGTCTCCACTCTGCTGCATGTTGTCTAGGCGCACGGCGCCAACGGCCAAACAAAACGCATGCCAAAGTTGCTTCAAACAAATTCGGTATCTTTGTTCTTTTGCAGCAGCAGCAGCCACTCGAACGCATTATTCCAAGCTTACGCACTCTTCGACTGACTGATCCTAATCCCAAGTCCTTCAGTTGTGCCTGCTGGACCAGCAGCTGCAATCTTCACCATGACCGACACGGAGAAGAAAGACGTTGAGACTCCCTTCACCCTGGCGACCGAGGATGCACCAAAGAACGTAACAGATGCACCGGTACCGGTAGCACTAGACACCGAAGAGGACGTGGCTGGATTTTACATCAACAAGAGTTGGTGGTCCAAGAGAAATTTTGGCCAGTATCCTGAACGAGGCTACAAACCCGTGTACCTCAACGAACTCAATGATACTCTCTGGTACGAATTCAACCGCGATGTCCAGCACTACCAAAAGTACTATTCCCACATTTCGTGGTTCTACAAGTTCTGCATTCTCGGACCCACTGCCTGGTTCCTTTTAATGGTCCTTCCAGACTTGCTTTGGTACTACGACATTATCTTCAAGGGGGTAGGTGTGGTCTGTGGAGTTGTCCTGGCGATAGCATTCTCCGTCGACACCTACTTTCAACGTCGTCTTTTGCGCAGGAAGATTCAACCCATGTACGAGCTCTTGGTGGCAACGTACGCGGCTCGATTCCGATTGCATGGGTACAACGTGGCATACAAAACCGAAAGGACAGCTCTGGATGGGCTCAACTCGTACATCATGTTCCGAAAGTGTTCCGTGGATGACAGCGCCCAACCACAACCAATTGAGCCAGTAGAGTTTGGCTTTTACCTCGACGAAGACATCATCGGAAAGAAGCCTTATGCAGTGGGTATGTCGTCCACCGTCCAACCACCTCGTTTTTTCCAGGGTATTGAGACGGATACTTGGAAGTCGTTTGCCAAGGACATTGAAGACCGTTCGAAGACTCCCCCGAAATACCTCTTGGTCTACACGATTGGAATGGGAATCGTCGTCGGTACCTTTGCATTCTGCATTCTCTATTCTATTATCTACTTTAGTGCCATCCGCCATTGGTTTTTGATTGCACTTGTGCCTCTGCACCTGTTATTTGACGTTATGAGAAGTTTCCGAAGACGACACTATGTGGAAAATGTTTTGGTCGACGACATGAAAGCACTTTTGAAAGAGTACGAGCCGAGGTTTGCAAAGTCGGGATACGAGGCATCCTTTGAGCTTGAATACAAGCTTGGCTACTTTGTTGTCAACACATTTTTCAACTTTATCAAGAAGAAGGGCGCCAAATATGAGGTGGCTCCTCTCTCCGATGCCTCTGTGGTTTAAAAAGAAGTGCAGCAAACAAACAAAAAGTTCAGGGTCGTTTCGTGTTATGGTTCATAGGTTTCTTTTGTGTTTTTATAATCTTCATCAATACTCTTGCCTACTACTACTAGCTAGGCTAGCTGGAAGCCGGTATAAAAAAGCGGGTTGCGATGTGGTTAGATGTATGGGGAATGGACTCCGGAGGTCTGGCAAGAGAGCAGACCAACTGATCACGATGGAAGGAAGGAGGGGAGCGAAAGGAGAATGGGTCAGAGGACAAAGTCTATGGATAAAGACCCAGTGCGTCCCAATGTTGAGAGCTCATCTTAGAAGCAGGGACTCAAGAACCATGGAGGCACATTGTAGCTGCACAAGCAAGTGCAATGCTCAGCTGGGCAGAAACTTAGGAGTGAACCACAGAGTAGGGCTTGGGCCACTTCTTAGCCAAAAGCTGAGAGAGTCGTTAGAGAACAGGTGTAGCTCCAGCGGCAAGAGGCCATCAGCAGAGACAACAAATGGGGTGAAGTGTCAGACTTTGTGCAGTACACTGAACCAGATCCTTCGTCTTCTTCGCCTTCTCACGCTGCAAAAGCTGGGAAAGGGCCTTCACCACAGCAGTGACACCTCCACTTGGACGACCAAGGGACTTGACATCCACAAGAGAGACATCAAAGATACAACCAGTACCCCAAAGCCAGAAGCTACAAACAAGAAGATCACCTCGGTATTGGACTAGCCAGTACGTTTGGTTTAGTCGTTGCCTCCGGTTGCTCGACTGTTCCTTGTCTTTTAGACCGTACGGGTCTCTCGGAACAGGTAGTGAGCCATGAGCCTTCAGTCTCAAAATGGGTAAGTCTGTTTGACAGCTTACTTGGCTTCTAATATTTAAGGCTTATTTAGGGCTTTTCTAGCCGTTCACCCTTGAAACAGCTTTCGCGCCCAAAAGCATTGGCCTGACATTTTCGCCTCAAAAGAGCAGCACGTTTGTCTCTTCATTGACATTTGACAATGATGCAATAATAGCACCATTGGCAAACCACAAGGAAACACAAAGCCAACATCACAACGACACTTTTAAACTTAACCAACAACAAAGCCAGCACAATGCCTCGATCAGCCCATTCCGCGCTTGGAAACAAGAAAAAGTCTGTCAGCAGTAGTAGTAGTAGTAGCAACGACAGTATGAACGGGCCCGCCAAGCGTCACAAAAACAACCGCAATCACTGGGCCGATGGTCTCTTGAAGTTCCTCGACGACCCTACGGATCCGGCTGTGGTGTACCTGGATGACGAATTCATTGCTGTCAAAGACAAGTTTCCCAAGGCCAAGTGTCATTACCTCGTCATGCCGAGGGACACCAAGTTCCGTTCACTGAATGATTTGGAGGGTCGGGGCGATATGGTTCTTCTGAGAAAGATGGAAGCGGTGGCCAACAAACTAGTGCACGACCAGAACGAGACAGGAGACCCTACGCTGCAGTTCCGCTACGGGTTCCATGCCGTGCCTTCTTTGAATCATCTTCATATGCATGTCATTTCGCAAGACTTTGACTCCCCACACCTAAAGAACAAGAAGCATTGGAACAGCTTCACTACTACCTTCTTTGTCCCAGTGGAAGAAATGCAGATTGCCGTCACAAAGGGGAAGATCGACTTCACCTACCGGGAGAATCGGTTGAAGGATGGACTCAAATGTCACCGGTGTGGAAAGATGCAGACCAACATGCCCCAACTCAAGCAGCACATCTCCTGTTGCAACTACGATGCGACCAAGGAATTCGACGAGTACAGCGACTGAGGACTTGCTTGCTTCCTGAATAACAAAACAACAACACGACAATAATAGCCTCTCACCCATAAACGGGTGGGTCGCTTTGGGGGCAACAATTCTTCTTCAGATTATAACAATTCGCTGGCACTCCTAACTAACTAATTCATCAAGGGAGGCCACAACAAAACAAAAACTTGGATGCACAGTGCACTCTCGTTTGCCATTCATTCATCTCTATGTGACGCAAAACTTAACAACCATAAAATTATAAACCAGTCTATCTTGTGAGAACCTTCGTCCGTAGGAGTTTCTTATGCGGAAGACGTCGAGGCAATGCGTCTCGGACGAGTGCGGCTCAGCCTAGCCGAGTGCAACAGTGGATGGGCTCGTCGCTGCGTCAACAACAAACACAAAAACAAGGATGCCAGGAAGAACAAGTCCTTAACTTACTACATGTACGAGCAGTCCTTGCATAAACAAAACTTCGTGCAAATTCCATTTGGTCCGGCGCCCCTCATGTACACCCTCACCACCAGGCCGATTGAGGTGAGGAACTATTTACATCCCACGGAGCGGCCTATTGACTACCAGTAGTTGCAGACCTGCATCAAGACCCAAAGGAGAAGTTGCTAGCATCTCCAGGTATTCAAAAGTCCTTAGAGCATTCAGCGTGACGGATGCGGTGGTCTGCTCTCTGTTGCAGCTCGTATTCGTCATGTCGGAACTAGTATCGGTACCAAGAGAACTGGGGAAAGAGCGAGCCGGAGATGGCCTTCCACATGAAGTACATATAAAATGAAATCATTAGTGATGCAATTCAAGGAGCTACAGTACATGTGCACACTACGTTGAAGGGATTCTTGTCTGCCCAGAACGAGCTCGAGTCCAGATCGGGCGACCTGGCCTCGATTCGATGTACGTCAGTTCGGGACCACAATCTACTCATCAGTGAAAGTGCCAAGGAAGATAGAAAAGTGATCATCGGGCATCATTTTCAGGTCTCTTTCCTTTCGGATCTGTTGCAACCAAGTATGAGGGTAGTTAGTCTCCTGTTCATTGCGGCCAATCCGATAGCGCCCACCTCGAATGAGGACTGAAATCCCGCCGTTTCGGGTGGTGACTTTCCGCTTCCATTCATCTGCCCACCTCGTCCAAACGAGTACAATCTCTACCTTGATCGTACCAACTCTTCCACACATCTCCAGCAACCGAAACACCGCGAGCCTTCGGTTGTCCAAAGCAAACAACCTGCCATCGCCAACACGAACAACGGCAATCATAGGAATGTCTCGCTTTCCGACCTCTTCGCGGGCTATCTGCAAGGCCGTTTGAAGAAGGCTATGCCCATCTTGAAATCCGTCCTTGATGCTATCGTGCGTGAACATGATTGCGGATGGGCGGACGCGGACACATTCTGGGCCAATTGCGGGGGCGGTTGCAGCTTCCAAAGTTGTCGTTGTTGAAAACACGGGCTGAAAGTGCTGCCTAGCTCCACTCCAATTCTTCCAACCAGAGCAACAGAACTGATTGCATCTATGTGCACTGAGCCAGTTTTCGATGCCAGTCGAACCCAAGTCTGTGTTGCCAAACTTCTTTTCCATGCTCATCATGACCACGTCGGAGAGAACATAAGAATCACCGATTTTGCCTCCCTGCAAATCACAGAGGAGCTCTCTTCCATCAGATGCATGATATGAAAAGTGGCTAAGCGCTTGTGCTACGGTAGCAGTCACATCAGCAGCACCGCTGTTTGAGTTGAACTTTTGGAAGTTTTCAATAAATGGCTCCCTGAGCATTTTTTGCCCAACAAGGACTCCGCCGCTCTGCATCCATACTTGAGGGATGTTCACCTTGATCGAGATCTTTCCACGATACACGGTTGTCTCTGTGTATCGATGAAAGGCAGCAATGTATTTTAGGGCTGCTTCTGCGGCCCGAACGTCATCGTCGAAGCAGTCACTACTGAACGTTGCTCCTGTTTTGAGATACTTGTCTGCTGCCGGGGCTCCACTTCGGCCGTATGTCCCGTTCGTCACACGCTTGTATTTCCCCTCGCCTTGCACAGAGTCAAATAGGAACCCATGATGCTCGTCCGACGGGTTTCTGTTTGCGAATCGTTCCGTATCCAGGGTCGAGAACATGGTTAAGATGTGGCGATTGAATCGAATCGTTCAATGCCGGGATGCTAGAGTTTGCCGCTAGCTAGCTTGGAGTAAGATCTGGATCTTTTTGCACACAAATCCATCAAAAGCTCCGATGTGAATATTTCATCCGAGTACAAAGACTGTAGGCACCGGTCTTCAGCTTTCAAGGCTGTGGCGTACTTTGCGATTGGGGGGTCATTTCAGCTTCATCACAACTAACTCTTGGCGACGCAGGGTTCGAAGGGCCATTGCGAACTCTTCACAGCAACGGGGTTCAAGACAACAAAACCCAAGTTGTTCTAGTACTAGCCTCCACCGCCAACTGTTACTTGCTAGACTCTACTATCTTTAGCCATCATTCTATCCTTAAAAAGTAATTATTGCTGAGTAGTCCTACCCGACAAGCTCTTCAGAAAGCAATCGGCAACGTGTCTCTTTAGAGCTCACCCGAATCTTTGATGGTGACCGTCTTCTTTGGAGTTCCAGAGTTACTGCCTTGTTTTTCCACATTCTTGACAATGTCCACTCCCTCTAGCACCTTACCAAAGACAACGTGTCGTCCATCCAACCAGGCAGTCTTGACAGTGGTGATGAAGAATTGGCTTCCGTTGGTGTTGGGTCCAGCTAATTGGATAGAAAGCAGTTTCAGTCAGATACCAAGAAATCCGATATGAAGAACTGAGAAAATGTCCTCAATTCCAATGAAATCGACTATCAGTCTACCAGCAGAAGATAAAACTCACCGTTGGCCATCGAAAGGTACATTGGTCCTTCATGCTTCAAATCAAAGTTTTCATCAGCAAATTTTTCTCCATAGATCGACTCTCCGCCCCGTCCATTTCCGTGGGTGAAGTCTCCTCCTAAGAAATTTAACAGAGTTCATGGATCCCCAAAAGATACCAATTGAGATATCCAAATCATTTTCCCAGATAATACACAACAAAAGCTACACTCTTGTTCCCTCCATACCTTGAATCATAAAGTTTGGGATAATTCGGTGGAAGGTAGATCCTTTGTAGTGAAGAGGCTTTCCAGACTTTCCATTTCCCTTCTCGCCAGTGCAGAGAGCGCGGAAATTTTCCACGGTCTTTGGGACTGTTGAGGAAGAAAAGTAGAAACAAAACAAAGGGCGGGTATCAGTGGCCATCATCTAAAAACGATCGTCCAAACACACACATGCTGTAGACAGGATCCAACAACACACCATCGTCACCAAAAAGACCGAGAATGACGCGTCCGCCCTCATCAGATCCTTCGATATCCTGTAAACACGACACGCCAAGACACGCAGTACGCAGTGGTCAGATCAGTATCAGATACCCAAAAATTCATGAAAGATATCTCTTGGTGCCTTCCAGCTCACTTCCCCATCTCCAACTCACCACATCGAAGTAAACCTTGTGGGTGACAGTGGCCTCACTAAACAGAGAGAGAAAGAGGCAGAAAGAGAAGGAAACAATTTGAGAACCTGTCGTGATCCACCGACAACAACAACTCGAGGAAAGCTCGAGAAATAGGGACACTCAATCAATTGACGTCACGTACCCCTGGACCTCTCCAAAGAGAAGGCAGGAGAGGGCGAAGAAAAGGGAGGCAAAGGCGACCTTCATTGTGTAGAGCTTGGATAGATAGTAGAAGGGTACGCGGACTGGGTTGACCAGGAAAATGACTCTTCCTTGTTGTTTGTTATCAAGATTGGGCTTCGCGGTTGCAAATCCAACCCGTTACCGGTGAACCCAAGATCGGATGCCATCCATGGCTTGGATCTTTGTCTCAAAGATCGCGCGAAACAGCGCGTCGCCTTCAAAACTGAACTCTAGCTAGGTACCACCTCGCAGTACCGTACCCGTGCTTGAAGCCACTCTGAAGACATGGCTAAATTAGTTACGGTTCTTCCGCACTTGGCTGGATTCTTGTGTTTGCTTTGCTGGTCTGCATACTTGTACTCACCAAGACGGGAGCAATCTCTTTGGTTGGGCTAATCATGCGGTATACATCTTGCTGTCGAAACGTATCTCCCATCGAGTAAACACTTGCAGAACAAATGCCAACAGCTACAGCCCTTCGTATGGTGCTGGAATGTGGGTGGGCATTCTTGGCCTGGAAAGTGCTTCAGGCCGTACAATGAATGGGAAGCTAGGATTGGTCTCCCAAGATTGTTTGCGAGATGGAAGACTTGTCATCAAAGTGGATGGATTCAGTGGATTCAAGCTCATTCGGCTGGCAAACCTAAAGAAAGTTTTCCTAAACGAAGATGCCATAACGCTGATCTTGTGCTGGGATGAAAGTGACCAGTGGCAGTTTGTGGTCGAGTCCTTTTATGGGCAACAGGGCAAGCAAACCGAGCATCCTGCTCATGCAAGTGGATGACTGGCCATGATGCAGAGTGAACCGGACCTGAGCAAGAAATATTCGATGTAGGGATGACGTTGCTGGATAGACGTCAATGCATCCGATCTCGAGTACGCAGGAGCAATCAAGATAAACAGAATGGCTTGTGATAGATTGCGAAGTATAGTATAGTACAAGTACCGCTCTTAGTGTTGTTACAAGCTAGCGATGGGTCCATTCAGTATCACCCATCCCCGCCAAGTGTACTGTAGTTCAAGCACCCAATGCCTTCCTCCCCAGCATCTCAAGACGCGCAGACCGGCAGTTGACCTGCCAAGGAATCCGGGGGGGGGGGGGGATCAAACTAACCGCATGCATCCAAATCACTACTCCATCAATGGAAGATAGTGTCTTATAATGACACGACGGTAATACTGTCCTTCGTCATCTTCGCGATGACCTGTATCTGACACCACTTCACTGCTCAAGTGTCGACCTCGGAGTCGGTTGTTGCCTCCGCCGGATGTAACGACGCTATCTTGTTGTTGTACCGATCCTCCAGAGTTGGCGTTTCCGTTGGCATTACCATTAGCGTTTCCATTGGCTCCGCCTAGCGCATCCCCTTCTCCTCGGATGTATATTGACCGCAGGCGCTGAAAGTTGGCGTCGCCGGGCAGCTGATTGTTTTCGGGGGTGCTTGTGTAGTCCAAGCAGTTTCCCAAGTCCTTGTTGTGCGGGTTCTCGTCTGTGTGTGGCAAGCCAAATCCATGGCCAATTTCTATTGACAAAGATCAAGTCATGAGCGTGGACAAGAGACGCACATCAAAAGCATCTCTAATGAGTGACTCAGTCACGCAACTCACCGTGGCACATTGTGTATCGGCGCTTTTTAAAGTCAGCATTGTTCAAGTAGTACTCGTTCATCTTGGCAACACTGGAAATGATAAAACCAGGTCCATCTTGTCGTTGATATTCAATTTCCACTTCATTGATACCCACCCAACCGCTGATATTGTAGCAAGGAAATCAGATAGATGAAGTGAGACAATCAAACACCCTTCCAGCTGATACATGGAATAAGATGAACTTACGTGTCTCCAAAGTTTCCATTGCAAACGAGCATGACACCGTCGACTCTGCCACAACTATGGTCCACGGCCACCCGACTGGTAGTCAAAGTCAGGACCTCCGATTCTTGCCAATCTGCCACTGCGATATCAAACTCTGATTGCCACATGTCATCCAATGCATTCTGCAACTCCAACGACAGTCCGGCGCCCTGTGTCTTCCAGGCATTGGTGGTGTTATCTCCCACAAAGGGATCTTCTTCAAAGGCCAAATCACCCCAGTCGTAGTCACTAATGTTCTTCAGCACGTCCGTAAAGTCTCCAAAGTCAATACCCCCCACAAATTCCTTCACGTCGTCCGCGCTGGGTCGGCCTAGAAAGTGCCACAAGATAATCGCCATCACTCCCATTATCGCCAGTGATATCATGCAGCTACAGCAGCTGCGGATTCTGGTACAGCATCCTTCTTTGGCCATCTTGAAGAACTAGAACGAAAGTAGTATGATTGATGCACTTGATGCAAATGATAAGGCACAAATGAGCTCTCTCGCTATCTATCCAACTATCTCCTGGAGTGGGATCTGAATCATCAATCAAACAAAACTGCCGTCTCTCTCAATCAAGTACCGTCTCAAGTCGTGGGGCTCAACCAACAGCAATGCTTGTGCCAAGCAAGGGTACCGAATTGAGTTGGGTCGATTGATCGTTCCAAACTCAGTCAAATGAGGGTGGTCAACTGACGAATTGGGCCCGCAAGAATGAGGGCGCGAAGATCGTGGGAAGAGTTGCCGTTGGATTTCGGCACGCTCCTCGATCTACACGAGGATACATAAGGCGGTTTTTAAACCAGCCCCGCATGCAAGCCTGCAAGCTGTGGGAGTACCGGTAGCCTAAAAGCAAGCTCTTTCGGGATTCGGGATCATCATTCGGAACCACCACTATGGGCGGGCGGGGCTGCCGGGTGTCTCTAGTACTAATACTTGTAGGGTGTAGAAGGACAATCGCCGCGTCGATTTGTAGTCTGGTGCAGCCTTGAACGCACATCATGGGGATGACTATGCGAATTGGAATCTTGAATGCACATCAGGGGGATGACTACGAATGGGAATCTTCATGATCGAATTGGCAGTCTGGCTACATAGTAGATTGTGCGGGAGACTGCCTAAAAAGCTGCATCTTGGCTGAATCGAATCGAATCGAATCGAATCGTTTCTGGGGTTGGTTGCAGGCTGCCTCGGTAGGGATACTGGTGGGGTACCGGTAGAGAGAATGTAAGAAACACTTTGTCGACGCCCAGCAACTTGAATCACTTCCTACCCCAGTCTGAAGATGGTGCTCAACCTTCTTTCCAGATGAAATGCCTATCCGGCAGTCTGTTTCTTGTCCAAGCAATGTTCCTCAATCGTGCATGACTTATATCGAAAACCGACCCTAATTTTGGGTCGGATTTAGGGACGGATTCCCCTTTAGGGTCGGGTTTCGAAACGGACCCTAAAATTAGGGACGGATTCTGAAAAAACGTCCCTAATTAAGGGACGGGTTTCGATTTAGGGGCGGGTTTGAAAACCGTCCCTAAATGGAAGCGGGACTGAGTGGTAAATACATTGAAATCCGACCCTAAAATAGGGTCGGGTTTCGAAACCGACCCTAAAATTAGGGACGGATTCTGAAAAAACGTCCCTAATTTAGGGACGGGTTTCGATTTAGGGGCGGGTTTCAAAACCGACCCTATTGCTACATGGAATTAGGGTCGGGTTTCAAAGATTTAGGGTCGGATTTGGGTCGGATTTAAAACTCACCCACGATTGAGGGACGCTCCAGCCACACGGTACGGTAGCATGCCGCAACACAACAGGTGTGGTCAATCCTGAGATTCCACGTCCCACGATGTGGAATATGGAAGCTCCATCGATATCTTTAGGCCTTTCTCGAGAGGCCTCTGCACTGGCATCGGACATCATGACCTGAACAGGAGTGCTTTGTATGTGAAGCTTTTGTGATTTGTTCGATTGATATTCTGGATGAGAAGGCTCCTTTGCACTTTCATCCGCAAACAGCTTCCACCACAAGCTAGACGAAGCATCCACTGCATGCTCTGTGTTTGTGGATGGTGTTGCCCTTGTTGTGTGTTTCGATAGTAGAGCTGTGAACGGAAGCCTGATTTGCTTCGCTTGGAGGACGTTTCGCAGCCATAGAATTGTGTTTCCAGAACAAGTCGATCATCATCCCTTGACTGTTTCCTGTGGTAGGTTGCAAGTATTCCAATAGTTATCATTGACCATGCCAACCGAGAAGAAGATTGGAGGGTATTCCGAGGGCCATCTCCTCAAGACGGCCAAGGAAGCAGTGGCAAAAAAGACGAACGGCTCGATCATTTTGGATCCCGAGGCAGAGGACCGAATACCCAAGTTTGACGAGAAGGGTACGTTGTTCTGCTTGACATACATACATGTATCACGTATGGACAATACTAATTCTATTATCTACCTGTTGCTTGCTATTGAATTGAATGGATGAAACCTATATTATTTGAACAGAACTCTTGCTTGGCCGAGTACTGGGCCGTGGTGGATTCTGCGTGGTCAACGAAATCACGAAAATCAAGCTCTCCGATGCCAACGACAACTCCACCAACAATGGTAACAGCCACCACAAACTGGACGATGAACATCACATTTACAATGTTGTCCAAGATCGCAAATTCATGTCTACCCATTGCATTCGTTCCGGAAAGGACTATCGATATGCTTTGAAAATACTCCAGGATTCCTCGCGCAAGGATCCACAAACATTCATTAGTGGCGTCGTCGATTTGGCCATTGAAGCACGCTTTCTGTCCGTTGTGCGACATCCCAATATCATCAAAATGAGAGGCATGGCGCTCATGGAAGATCCATTTGCCAATGCACGCTTCTTTGTCATTCTCGATCGACTCTACGACACACTCACGGTCCGAGTCCAAAAGTGGAAAAAGAATCAAGTCAAGGGAATTCGAAAAATGTTTGATCGCAAAGGAAAGAGAGCATTGGCCTTTTGGGTCGAACGAATGACCGTTGCCTATGATTTGGCATGTGCACTCAAGTACATGCATGAGTTACGGTACGTACAGCAGATGCAACCTTGTCAGTACTACCGATAGTTGAGGGTATTGCGCTTCAACTCATGAGCTCAACCCTGCTTCCATGATTCATCTCCTTGTTGCCCCCTTCAGGATTATATATAGAGATGTCAAGGTTCGTTCTTTCCAACCTGCTTCGTGCTCAATGATGTCCTGAGATGGAGGTGGCTTGGTGTCTCATTCTTGTCTTGTCCACTTTGGTGGTATCTTTGTTCTGTGTTCCGTAGCCTGACAATATTGGTAGGTTCATGTTTTCCAACATAACAAACAACACTGTGAGATGAGATTGATTCGATTCCATCATTGGCTCACTTACTTTTTCACTGCAACGTCTGCGTGTGTTCTAGGATTTGATGTTCGTGGAGATGTCAAGATCTTTGATCTCGGACTTGCCAAAGAGTTGGATTGCGCCAAAGACAACGGCGACGGAACGTATCAACTCACGGGTGATACTGGAAGTCCCAGATATATGGCTCCTGAAGGTAAGTTGATGACTCTTTGCTGTCGCCTTACCTTTTTAAAACTGCTTTGCACTCAACTGTTTGTTTGTTTACACACTCTTGCATCGAATCACTGCAAAACTCAATCAACCTCACACACACACACTATCTCTTCTACAACTATCTAGTCGCCATGGAGAAACCGTACAATGAAAGAGCCGACTGTTATTCCTTTGCGATTCTAATGTGGCAAATTTTGCAAATGGAAACGCCCTTTGAGAACTACACAGTGTCCATGTTTAACAAAAAGGTGGTTGCGGGTGGTGCCCGTCCGAAATGCGACGACAAGTGGCCCAAGATTGTCAACGGCATGATGATTCGTGGTTGGGGTCCTTTGGCACAACGACCTTCGATGGGTGAGATTGCCGAGTGTTTGCGAGATGAAATCAATCGCGTGTCGGATACCGAAGTCAATGAGATTTTGGATTTGTCCAGGAAGAGTGAAATGTCGATGCACAAGCAAAAGTATGCTGCGTGATATGTATGCAATCCCATTCAATCCACACCACAGTATTATTGTCATCTCAATGTTTCTGAGTGTAGAACTGTGCAGAGTGTAAAAAGTAACATGAAGTGGCACAAGAAAAACTGGAGCTGCCAACCATTTCACATCACACCCTCTCGATCAAGAGTACTTGGACTAGCTAGCTAGCTATTAGTGGAACCTTCACTTCTTTCTACAGTATTGATTTATCTTGTGTTCGAAAGTTCTTCTATTAATCTATCTATCGTATACGAAACCGCCTTGCCTGCAAGACCACCCACACGGTGGATGCAGCGGCTGCCATGACGGCATTTAATGGTTTCAACTCTTCCGTAACTAAATTTTGGAAGGACGTGGCCGGATTTCCTTGTTGTCCCATCATCATGGCACCAAATGGAATATTGCTGGTTTGTGCATCCATCATGGGATCAAGAGTTCCTCCCATGTTTCGTCGAAAGCGACTATCGGTATGGGCACCACCGAGCCACGCCACGAGAGCGGGTCCACACCACCAAATTTTGAGTGGCAGGGCCGCCGGTGGGATCAGCAGTGCCTGTCCCAATCCGGCCAATCCCAAAGACCACAATCCGGGGTGTCGTGTGACGCGTTCCATCCCGTAGAGCGAATGATCGGGCCGTGGTGGTTCTTTGAAATCAAACGGACATCGGACTTGTAGTTTTTGTTCACTTGACATTCCCACGGGAATTTGAAACTTGGGAAGGCCCTGCGTGGCCATGGTGAGACCCAGCGTCAAGACGACCCAGGCACCGCCAAATACCATGGGCGATCGAGGTACCAATCGCAAGGTCGACTCTGGAATTTTATGTTGTCGTCGCAATCGCACAAAGGAATATCCAATGGATGCCGTGGCAATGGTGGACAATGTTCCGTAGACGAGGTGGTATCGATCATCTCCCAACTCGGCAATCAGCCAGGTGCGATTCTCGGATAGTATAGCATTTTCCGCCACAAAGAAAATCCAACCACCCGCGGCCCACGGTAGATCCCCTCGTCGCTTCATGATGGCTGTGGCAGCATTGCCTATCGAAGCTGACATGATGCTTGCTTGGTTGGTCCAGGCTTATTATCTATTAGAAAAATAGATAATAATAAAGGAAAGATGTTGGGAGCTATTTATAATAGTATCGTCATGGTGACTCACATCGATTTTGAGTTGCGACGAAAGAATTTTTCGTCATGAAAATGCGGTGGTGGCCAATGAAATCTTTCGTCTGTCCGCCCATCAGAGACCTCATTTTTTGGATACCCGTTGGTGTCACTTGACCATCGCAACGTCGGAACGTCGCAACGTCGCAACATCGACCTCGATCAGTGACAACCCAGGACAATGTACTTTAGTTGATGGGCTCCTGACCCACTTGACTGATTGATCTAATATAGTTGATTTTATTCTAGTAGACTGACTATGAAGTCCTTTGGTTTCTGGAATGGCCAATTGATGTTGTTGGTATCAACAGGTTTTCTCTTAGCTGCATGTCACGGGTTTGTTCCGAATTATCTTCCATCCACAACAGTTGTTTCCCACGGCAATAAACCACCCTCGAGAACGACGAGACTGTATCAATCGGATGACAGCAACGACAAGTCCGCCAAAGTCCGCTTTTCCGGTGCTTCCGAGGCTACCAGTACTTCCAATCCTATCGATTCGGCCATTTCGCTCCTTTCATCGGATGTCGCATCCATTGGGCTTGGTTTGGTGGGACTGTGCCTTCTTTCGATTGAACGATTGACACTCCCCGATGCAGCCACGCTGGGAATTATGGATCCCTCGCAATATGCCGAACAATTGGGAGAAGAAACCCGCTCCAATTTGATTGCCGTCATTGCCTGCGGATCGGTACTGCTCAATGGATTGAGCAAACTAGATGTCACATCGGCATTGGCCGAAGAAGTCACACTGGAGGGGGTCGTCGTTTCGGAACCCGTCTGGTTCACAACCACAAGAACCCAAGAAAATATCAACAGCAACCAGGAACTCGATTGGGCCATGGAATCCTTTCTAAAGGCCACACCTGCCAAATCCGTAGCTATACTACAACATCAATCCAGCGATGATAGTACCAGTAGTAGTTGGCAAGTCGCAGCCGCCATGGGCACGCTGCCAGACTTTTCTCCACAAGAACCACCACCTGTACCCGCCACGACGCCCATACTGGATCGATCCAAAAAATCGGGTGCCGGTGAAACCTACTTGCCAACCTTACAGGCGCTGCCGGGAAAGACCGAATTCACCTATTTACCTGCCAACACACAAGGAGTCCTGATACTACCCATTCCAAATAATGCGGCCGCCATTGTCTTGGGATCCAATTGTGCCAAGAGTTTTACACCACGGGATGTGGCATGGTGTCAAACGATTGCAGGTCGATTGGGGACGATATGATTCGAAATATGATTGAATAGCTAGCTAGCCATTGCTTGTTCTGCATAGAATAGTAGATCGTTTTATGTGGAATGGAGTATGGAGTTATGCATAATTGGATTTTGGTTGGTATGTAGGAGGGGTCACCCATTGGTTTTGCTAACAATCCCACGGTTGGGACTATGGTGGCAGCCGGCTAGCTAGTGGTTTGGATCGACTCAGTAGTTTTGTGCGGGAGCACGCTAACTCTACCGCAACAACAAGACTCTACTCGAATGATGATTGAATCAATCGAATCCATCCCTTGCACATAGTAAGTATGATGTACCAAACGAAGCGGCGGTTCATTCTTGTACATGGGTATATAATATGATTCTGATTCGAGATGAGCCCATCTAGGACATGGTATGATCACAGTGGTACACATAATTAAAAGCCTAGTAGCGATACTTTGATACAAATTGTAGCTAGAATACACCAACACACCATGGTATGAGATCAATGAGACATTTTGAATGATTGATAGCTCCCTTGATACCGGTAGCATCAGCAACAAGCGAGTGAGCCTTGATGTTGGTTGCTGCACTCAGAGAGCTGTCCGGGAAGAAGACCTCACTATTTCCAGTTAGTTTCTCTTCCGTGATATGTGTGTGATTTTGTCGTGTGTCCTCCACATCCTCATTGTCTCAACAGTTTGGTTTCCTTGAGATCAGAAAATACCCTGTGCTTATTCGTTTGGGTAGATACCGGAACCATCTTTTTGAATTATCTCTCTTTCTTTCTTTTTCTTCCAGGCAACGGGTGCGCACGATTGAATTCACTCTTAGAGGCTCTTGCACAGGGACTGAACGCATCAGCATGGTAGCCACATCAACTATGGATCAGATGCGGTACGCCTTCTTGCAGCAACAGAATCTTGACATCTTGTAGACAGGGATGGCTATTAAGAGCATCAATCATGACATCTGACTCCCCCGACAACTCAAGATTACACAGAGTGATGGTATTCAGTTTCTTGGCCTTTTTCAAGAAAGTTGCCAGTGCTTGTGCGATCAAAGGGTGACCTTCCCGAGGTGGGAAATCAATCTCGAATATTTCCAACTTGGGCAATTCCCCAATAGCTTCTAGCAATTGACTGCTCTGTTCTGATGTCAGCTTTTTAAAGAAGGGTCGGTTTATTCGAACGTGCTTGCAAATACGGTGTGCGCTAAAGGCTTGAATTAGTAGCGTCACCACATCCGAGTCGTCGTCTAACACCAGTTTCTGCGTGAGACGGTTGGCGGCGGATGAGCCACTACTACTCGAGCTCTTGCTGCTCGTCCCCTTGGACGAGCTCCTGCCATCTCGCTTGGACTTGGCCATGATGAGTTACTGAAGAGGTGTGGTGTGTTCGTTCGTGCTGCTGTTTGTCGAGGCTGGTGGTTTGCTGGGTTGCTGGGTTGCAATTCAATTCCAGTTCAAGAGCGAACGAAGCAGAAGCCCGACGAAACTTGAATGAGGTGTTGTTGATGTTTTTGTTCTGAATTTCTTCTGCAAGCAAGGCCGTCTGCACCCAAAAATGCCCTTCTAAGTGCACGAAGTACTGGTACCACTCTTCGGCGAACTCTCGCCAAATCTGGCTTCACCCACCATTTTTGTTAACTAAAATCTGAAAAGTGTTTCAACAGCACAAAAATGTCATTCTTGCATTATTAATATTCATATGCCCCCTGGGTCGTCTCCGTTTCCAGTACTAGTTTAACTTGTCTACTAATACAGGATAATGGTGAATAGAATCGAATGAATCATGTGGCTTATATTTAGGGTTTAGGTTTTGCTTCCCCATGTTTTTGCACTACCCCCCGGCATGTACTTTGAGGCCTTCTTGGTAACTCTTCTCGAAAAGCAGCAGCAGGAGAACGGTGGTTAGTCTCCTACAGTAGCTTTCCGTATAAATCCCCAGTGCCCTCACTTTCCAATACCTCAATACTGGACCTCCCATTATTATTCGCAAACCCATTCCCAAGTTCCAATGCAACCAAATACGTAATCTCCGTTCCACCTGTTCCACGAACCACGTCGGCCAAAGTGTACACCTGCGAATAGTTAGAATGATGGACACTCCCACTAGGTATGAAGAAAGCTGGCCGCAGCGATCCTATTACCGAATACCCCAGTTCCGACGAAGAGCGGGAAACAGAGGAAAAGAAGACACCAAGTTCCCAGCGGAAGCGAGCCAACCCTCACTTAACACACGTTGACTTCAAATT